GGGGATCCTGATTTGGGACTTGATCCCAGGACCCTGGGATTGTGACCTGAGCCAAAGGCAGATGCTCAACCACTGAGACACCCAGGTGTCCCTAAATGTAAATGGATTTCATTCTTCCAACAGAAAACAGAGTGGCTGGATGAATAAAAAAACAAGATCCAACTATATGTTGCTTATAAGAGACTTACTACAGTTTTAATTTGAAGGGGTGGAAACAGATGTTCTATGCAAGTCAAAGCCAAGAGAAAGCAGGGCTAGTTACACTTATATCAGACAAAATAGACTAAGTAAAAAACTGTAACAAATACAAAGAGGATCATTATATACTAATAAAGGGATAATTTCTTCCAGAGGATATAGCAGTCATAAATATATTTATGGCCAACATCAGAGCACCTAAATACAGTGAGCAAATACTAACAAATCTGAAGGGAGACAGTACAATAAGAGTAGACTTCAATATGCTGCTTTCAACAATGGACGGATAATCCAGATGGAAGATCAGTTAAGAAATATTGGGCCTGAATCACACTTTTGACCAAATGAACCTATCAGACACATGCAGAACATTCCATCCAGCAACAGAACACACATTCTTCTCAAGTGCCCCCAAGAACAGTTTTAAGGAGAAAGTTTATAGTTAATAAATTCCCCACATTAAGAAACAAGAAAAATTTCAAGTAAACAACCTAATTTTACAGTTTAAGAGAGCAGAAAAAGAAGAACTAAGCCCAAAGCAGATGGAAGAGAATAATAAAGATCAGAGAAGAAATAAATGGAATAGAGACCAGAGAAATAATATAAAGGATCAATGGAACTAATAGCCATATGTTAACAAAAACAAAATGACAAACCTTTAACTAAACCTATCAAGAAAAAAAGAGAAAAGTCAAATAAATAAAATCAGAAATGAGGGACGCCTGGGTGGCTCAGTGGTTTAGCGTCTGCCTTTGGCTTGGGTTATAATCCTGGGATCCTGAGATCAAGTCTCGCATCAGGCTTCCCAGAGGGAGCCTGCTTCTCCCTCTGCCTATGCCTATGCCTCTCTGTGTGTGTCTCTCATGGGTAAATAAAATCTTAAAAAAAAAAAATCTGTCTCTCATGAATCAATCTTTTAAAAAAATCAGAAATGAAAGAGGAGACATTGTAGCTGATAACACAGAAATAAAAAGGATCGTAAGAAATTACTATGAACAATTATATGCCAACAAGTTGGATAGCCTAGAAGTGGATAAATTCCTAGAAACATGAAACCTACCCAGACTGAATCTTGAAGAAATAGAAAATCTTAACAGACCAATAATGAGTAGAGATTGAATCAGTAATCCAAAGTCTCCCAACAAAGAAAAGGCCAGGAGCAAATGTTCTCCCTAGGGAACTCTACCAAACATTTAAAGAATTAAAGAATTAAAGAAAGCAGTCCTCAAACTCTTTCAAAAAATTAAAGAGGAGAGAACACTCTCTAACTCAGTTTACAAGGCCAGCATTATTACCCTGACACCAAAGTCAAATAAAGACATTACAAAGAAAACCATAGGTCAATATCCCTGATAAACATAGACACAAAAATTTTCTTTCTTTTTTTTAAATGAGTTTTTGGTTTTAATTCCAGTATGGTTAACATAAAGTGTTATATTACTTTCATATATCACAAAATTTTTAAGAAAATTTTCAATAAAAATATTAACCAACCGGAATGCCTGGGTGACTCAATGGTTAAAGGTCTGCCTTTTGCTCAGGGCATGATCCTGAAATACCAGGACCAAGTCCCACATCGGGCTCCCTGCATGGAGCCTGCTACTCCCTCTGCCTATGCCTCTGCCTCTCTATCTGTGCCTCTCACGAATAAATAAATAAAATCTTTAAAAAAGTATTAACCAACCAAATTCAACAGCTCTTAAAAGAACCATGCATCATGATCAATTGTAGTTTATCCCTGGGATGCAAGGGTGGTGTGACACATGCAAATCCATTAATACAAAACACCACATTAATAGAATAAAGGATAAAAGTCATAAAATCATCTCAATAGATGCAGAAAAAAGCTTTCAACAAAACACAATATTTTTTCATGATAAAAATGCCCAATGAATGGTATAGAATATAAGAAGCACAAACCATAAGCAAAAAATGGATAAATTGGATATCAACACAATTAAAACATTTTCTTTTAAGATTTTATTAATTAATTAATTTATTTATTCATTCATTCATTCAGGAGAGACACAGAGAGAGCGAGAAGCAGAGACATAGGCAGAGGGAGAAGCAGGTTCCATGCAGGGAGCCTGACGTGGGACTTGGTCCCGGGTTTCCAGGATCACGCCCTGGGATGAAGGCAGTGCTAAACCACTGAGCCACCCGGGATGCCCAATTAAAACATTTTCATTTAAAAATACCGTTAAGAAAATGGAAGCCACAGACAGTGAGATTCTTGCAAGCACAGAATCAATATTGTTTGTTTTAGCATTATTTTTTGTTTAAAGATACATTTCACATAACATAAAATTCACCATTTTAAAGCGTAATCTCCATGATTTTTGCTATGTTCATTGTGTCTACACTATCACCACCATTTAATGCTGGAATGTTTCTGTCACCCCAAAAAGAAACCTCTTACCTATAAGCAGTTATTTTGAATTTCACCACTTCCCCATCTCCTGGCAACCACTAATCTACTTTCTGTCTACAATGCATGTTCTTTTGTTTGGCTTCTTTCACTTAACAGAATGTTTTCAAGGTCTATCCATGTTGTAACACGTAATAATACTTCATCCCTTTTTATGCTTGAATCATATTCCATTTTGGGGATATACCACATTTGTTTACTATTTCCTCAGTTGGCTGGTTTCCAGTGTAGGGCTATTATGAATAATGCTACAGTGAACATTCAGGTAGGAGTCTTTGTGTGGACATATGTTTTCAATTCTCTTGGGTATATGGCTAGAGGTCGAATTGCTGGATCATATGATAATTCTGTTTAACTTTTTGAGGAACTGTCAAACCATTTTCTTTTTCTTTTCTTTAGTCTTTTGTTTTTTTTTAAAGTAGGCATGGAGCCCAACATGGGCTTGAACTCATAACTGTGAGATCAAGACCTGAGCCGATATCAAGAGTCAGACGTTCAAATGACTGAGCCACCCTGGTGCCCCTCAAACTGTTTTCTGTAAGGGTTTCATCATTTGACATTTTCACCAGCAGCATATAAGGGTTCCAATTTCTCTACCTCCTCACCAACACTAATCGTCTATCTTTTTTATTTTAGTCATCCCAGGGGGTATGAAGTAGTATCTCACTATAGATTTTTTTCTTTCTTTTTTCGTCTTACCCATCCCCCCACTCACCTCATCTCTTGCAACCACCAGTTTTTTCTCTGTATCAAAGACTCTGTTTCTCTCTTTTTCTCTTCATTTGTCCATTTGTTTTGTTTCATAAGTTCCACATTTGAGTGAAATCATGTGGTATTTATCTTTCTCTGTCTGACTTATTTCCCTTAGCATAATACCCTCTAGGTCCACCCATGTTATTGCAAATGGCAAGATCTCATTTTTTAAAAATATTTATGTATTCATGAGAATACACAGAGAGGAGAGAGAGAGAGAGGCAGACACAGGCAGAGGGAGAAGCAGGCTCCATGCAGGGAGCCTGATGTGGGACTCGATCCCAGGTCTCCAGGATCACACCCTGGGCTGAAGGCGATGCTCAACTGCTGAGCCACCCGGGCTGCCCAAGATCTCATTTTTTTATGGCTGAGTAATATTCCATTATATACCACATCTTCTTTATCCATTCACCTAATAGGTGGATACCTGGGTTGCTTCCTATCTTGGCTACTGTAAATACTGCTGCAATAAACATAGGGATGTATATATCTTTTTTAAATTAGTGTTTTAGTTTTCTTTGGGTAAATACCCAGTAGTGGAATTACTGAATTGTATGGTAATTCTATTTTTAATTTTTTGAGGGACATCCATAACGTTTTCCACAGAAGCTGCACGAATTTACATTCCCACCAACAGTGCACAAATGTTGTTCCTTTTTCTTCACATCCTTGTCAACACTTGTTTCTTGTGTTTTTAATTTTAGCCATTCTGACAGGTGTGAGGTGATATCTCATTGTGGTTTTAATTTGCAACTTCCTGATGATTAGTGACGTTGAGCATCTTTTCATGTGTTTATGGCCATTAGCATATCTTCTTTGGAGAAATATCTATTTTGATCTTTGGCTAATTTTGAGGACAATGGTTTTCTGATTGTTGAATTGTATTTATGTGTTGGTATTTTTAGTGGGATGGGTTGATTAGTTTACAATGGTGGTCCTCTTAAGATTATCAAAGACCATAGGCTTTTCCATATACTCAGGTCTTTTGCATTCTTCAGCAACATTTATTTCTAGTTATTTATCTTATTATTGTAAATTACTCCAGTGTTTTAATATTGACAATCCAAAAAAGCATTTGAAATGCTAGGTAATTCCATTCAGGCCAAGTTTTGATCTGCAGCCTCCGGTCTACCCAAGCTACTTGCTTTAAAGGGAAGGACGCTGACACCTCGAGATGCTGAGTGACTTTGTCAAGGCCACACAGTGCATAGGTGGCAGAGAGTGGCACGAAAGCCCAGGTATTCTGCCTCTGTGTTCATCCTGACTCTGGATCCAGAGCTCTGCCATCTCACCAACCTCCAGAAAAATGTCTCAGTCTAGGAAAATGGCAAATAGCCTTATGTGCATCACGGACACCTACTTGCCCAGGGCCTAAAGTCACCAATCAAGAGGAATTAGGGATAATTTGACAACAATTAGGATAAAAGGAGAGTAAAGCAATGGTTGCATGAGAGAAAAAGCAAAAATTTAGATACACACACGCCTCAAACCCTCAAACCTCCAGAGCTTCCTGCCGATGAACCGAAAGGGGGAGTGTGAGCTTCTTGGCCCTGTTGGCAGGTGTCTGTCTTCTCACCAGCCCCACAGTCCTCCACTTCCTGAGGAGGCAGGAGCAGAACAAAGGCGGCAGCCTCCTTTTCTCTTCTGTGTCCCAGCCATGGCTGCCACAGCGTTGGCCTCCTGGCATCATCCTGGGGGAAAGGACAAGGTGATGTGGAAGGTGCTGGTTATCGCGGCCCTGCTGCAGGCACAGCTCCCGGTGACAGGTAAGGCCCAACATGTTGACGGCAAGGAGCTTTAAGAAAGTCTTTGTGCATGTGTGTGGGGCAAGAGGAGGGGTTGTGAGGGGCTGGTATCTCTGTTGAATCCTGTTCTCCCCAGATCAAGGGGCGGCAGAGCAGAGAGGACCCTGCTCGATGCAGGCATCTGCTCATTACAGCCAAGCTGGGCCTGGGTTCAGAGCCAGATAGATGCTTGAGCACACACCTGCCCTAAGTACAGGGTTTTCCAGTGATAAAAGGAGAGAAGGAAGTGCGTGGAGGGGGAGGATGGGGTGGAAGGAGGCAGAAGAGCAGCTGGAGCAGACCCAGTGTGGAGAAAAGGAAAGGGAGTATCTCACAGATGCCTGGTGGGATGAGAAACTGTCAGCCAGGCCATCTTTCTCTTGGCATCTTCTTTCACCCCCTTGCTGACGCCATCATTGCCCCTTTCCTTCTTCCTTTACCAAAAGAACACTTCTCTCGTTGGTCCGTCAGGGTCACGACTGTGATCATGGCTGACTGGAAGCACCTGGATGGGGCAGGGACTAAGCAGCGGCGTCAATGAAGGAGGGAAGGGGTCTTCCTTGGGGTCCATGTCTAGACACAGCTCTGTCATGGCTGCCCTGCACCCCACAGCCAAAGGCTGCCCTGTGACACACCCATCAGGTTAGTGACTCACCTACTGCCCCTCACTGCAAGCAGCTCTCTATCCGAGGCCAAAAAGCTAGAGATACTGACAGAATGTAGGGACAAATGAGAAGATGTGATCTGTTAAGTCACCACTGTGAGGAACACCCAACCAGCAGGAGAACTCACTCATCTTGTTTTAGTTCACGGGAACCTGGCTTTTCTAGAATCCTTTCACTCCTACCATGTTTTCTAGGCCACGTAGTAAGGAGATCATGCGAAGACAAAACAGGCTGTCTCAGGGGATTGGTGCCATGGCATTTTTATAGGAAACAGGACCAGCTGTATTTGAATCTAAAAAAAAAAAAAGAAGGGAGGGTGGTCACAAATAAATGACCTTCCTCTACCTCACAGGTTACCTCGGGGTAGGGGAGACCGTTTAGCAACAATGGTAGGAGGGCAGGAGAGGCCACTGGCAGTTTTTGCTCCTGCCAGGGAACATGGCACAGCCTCAGCTTGGTGCCTCAGGGCTTCTGAGGACTAAATAATCGTGGGGTTTTCTGTAAGATCACAGCTTTCTTCTCAGAAAAGCCTTGTTGGGTATGAGTCACATGGTGCTGTGGGGTGAGGACTCCATTGCAAACCCTGAGCAGCCCATCCTGTGTGCAGGGGACAAGAGGACCACATAGCCTGTGAATTCAGTGATTTCAGGGCAACAGCTGACGGTAGCTGCTTCAGACCCTGGGCTTCAGGCCATGGAGAGAATTCCGCTACACAGAGTTTCCTCACCAGTCCATTTGTGTTGGCCTGGGGGCTGAGGTAGCAGCAAAGTAGAGTCAGAAGAGAAAAAGGAAAAGCTGCTTGGGTGGTGGTGGCTGCTGAGAGTGGCAAACAAAAGCCCCACCAAGCAGACTAGATGGGGGCTGTGCCCCTTTCCACACTTGGCACACATGAGGAAAACGTTAGATTGACTGGATTTTTCATCTTTCCGTGACCCTTGCTTTGCTAGGGTGGAGAGGGACATTTCAGCTTCTCTTAGATAAGGCTCCTAGATGAAAGTTCTTCCAAGCATCTCACCCAGCTGAAGCGAGGTGAAGGGAGACTTGAGCCTTTAACACCAAGGGCTGCAAATGGCACCATGTGGCCTTTACGACTTCACAGGGTGAAGATAGAATTTGAGTTGAGGTCTTCTCTCTTTTCTTCCTCAATTAAGTCACCCATCCCCCAAACTCTTTATAAAAATCCACTTTAAAAAATTATTTATTTATTTATTCATGAGAGACACACAGAGAGAAGCAGAGACAGGCAGAGGGAGAAGAAGGCTCACTGCAGGGAGCCTGATGCCGAATTTGATACCAGGACCCCAGGATCACGACCTAAGCCAAAGGCAGATGCTCAACTGCTGAGCTACCTAGGTGCCCCTAAAAATCCACTTTTTACTAAGATTTTTCCATTTTCCTTTTATGGAAATGCCCAGATTATGAGGATCAAAGCAAATAGTGATCCAGTTTGTCTACACGAGGAGGTGTCCCTGGGTGAGAGTCTGCCTAGATGGTCACCGGGATCTGGGGCTGAAAGTGACAATGGTGGTGTGCTTAACAGCACAGGCGCACTTTTGCCTGGAGAGCCGTCAGCTCCTGGGTACCTATAACTCCCTACCCCGAAGTGGCCAAGAATGCACCAGTGGTCAGTGGCCATTGTCTTGCAAGGCGAGGTCCTACAGCTGTGACACAAAACCTCGGAAAATACAGGTCCCCAGGCGTATTTGCACCTCTACTTTTAGGGAGGCAGCTGGATGTGGTGGCAAAAGTCAGGCCAATCATAGATGGAATCCCAGTGTTGCCACTTTTCTAGCTGTGCAACCTTAGGCAGATTGCTTAACCTCTCTGGGCCTTAGTTTTCTCCCCTCTAAAATAAGGATAACTTTTTTTGCAGAGTTGTAAAGATGAGAAATGAATATAATATGCTTGATACACAGCAGACAGCCAATACATGGAAGTGGTATTAATTATTACTATTATTACATCATGATCTGTTTTCTTGTTCTCAATATCTAGCAACAGGAAATGGAAACCCATGGTTAGAATTCTTAATTTGCTCTCAACTGTGTGGTAAACAGCACTGGGCATTCTCTCCATCTGTTGAAATCCAACTCGTCCTTCTTTTGAGTTCTGAGCATACCCGTTCTAGCACAGGAACATGGTGATCCAGCGGAGCAGTGGGCCCAATCGGGAACAAAGCTCGAAGCTTTGACAGGCCCCAGGATGAGGTTTAGAAATAGCCATTTTTATTTTCTAAGACAACTTATTCTGTAGGGGATGTTCCCCCAAAGTGAAAACATACTCCAAAATATATAATATAAATAATTAGGGGAGGGAAATGAGAGGCAAAATCCGCCAGGTCGTCAACTGGTCAGGATGGCCACCCAGATTTTGTAGCTGAATGTTTGGTGTGCGTGCTCAGTGACTGGATATTTAAGTGCAAACTTCTCGAACGCCAGCTCTTTGCTTAAACCGCTCAGAGCTGGATGTAAGGGGAACTTCTAAGTAACGCCAGGACAAGGTTTTCTTCAACAGCATTTTCACCAACATCTAGTCATCTGGCTCTGTTCATCCAAATGAGCTCCTTAAATTTTTTCCCTTGGCATTTCTCACACTTGCTGGCTTAGAGACCAAGCTGCTGCTGTTGCCCAGTCCTGGGAAGCTCTTGCTTAGGTGAACGACCACTGTTGTATGTATTTTTAATTCTTTTTCTTTTTGCCTCTGTCTTTAAAAAGGTAGATTTAACTTTTACTGGATGTACGCTTTTACTTTCAAGAGTCCCCAAGCATCGTGTCTTGTGTTTTATTTAGAAGGGTTAGGGCCCTCGCTCGGGAACTGGTTTGCATTAGAGCTGTCCAAACACGCTACCTTGGGAATCCTTTTTCTCCTGAGCTGTATTTACCTACGGTCAGCTAATGGATTAAATAAACAGCAGGGATATTTCAACATAGACTTCTCTGCTTGAGCCAACGTTAGTTCTTATTAACACTGAACTGATGGTAGATTTAATCAATTTGAGCAAACATTCAGTCAATTGGTTAAAAAACAATCAAACTAGTCACTTGACATATTAGTTGAGACAAACTATTTAGTCACTGTGGTACTTAGCTGTTCCTTCCAGGCTGAAAAAGTGAGTCTATGTTCCCTGAGGGAAGAGACCACTCCATCTTGCTCAGAGAGGTGTGCGGTGCTTAGTGCACTGCTGGAAGCAGAGTCCACACACCATAAACACTTGTGGAACGAATTAAATAGTGGATGAGTGAAAGAAATCTGGATGTTTCCATGTGATTAAATTAACTTTAATGGTTTATTGAGTGTGAAATATATTGGAGTGGCATTATTTGGAAGTTTCCTCTAGAGGACTTAGCATTTAAATCTAAGCCAAGCAAAAAAAAAAAAAAAAAAAAAAAAAAACAGAACTTAAACTGGTGGAGGGGACAGGGCAATTTAAGTGAACAAAATAATTCAAAATAAGTTGTGAGGATGGTTTAAGATAAAATTTGTTGTTATTAAAATTTTTGATATAAAATTTCCAATATTTGTTTGTTTTGGACATACAAATAAGATAATTTCATATGATCTGAATAATATTATATCTCAAAAATAAATAAGCAAATAAAGAAAAAATGTTAATTTTTCTGACTTGGCTTCAAGACTGGGAAAAAGCAGAAAATAAAAAAAGGCTAACAGTTGGAGAATGTTAACCAACAAACTTTAAAAAAAACCTAATTAATGAGAGGTACCAGGAGAAGAATAAGTTTGTGGATTATGGCAAAAATCACAGTATTAAATTCCCTCAAAATATGGGAAGAATAAAAAGGCAGATTGCCTAACCAATGTGGTCTGATTTGGTCTAGGTTACTAACTAAATGTTCCAAGTAGCTATCACTATTTTCCCCTATCTTAATTTGAGGTGTTTTAATAAAAATATCATAAACTCATTTGAGGAAGTTATAGATTTTTTTAAATCCATAATCTGACAAGCTAACCCAATAACTTGTTGTTTTTATTTCCTTGTGTTCCATTCCAATAGTTTTTATAACTGTATACATATCTTATGTAGTTGCCATCATAAAAGCATTTCCATGTGCTATTTTTTCTTAGTAATCCATTGTAAGCATTTTTTTTTATGCTGAGCTTTCACAATTGGTTTTAATGACTATGTAAGCTTCCATAGTTCATGCATCATATTTTCCTACTTCTTTACTGTTGGACATTTGGGCTGTTTCTGATTTTTGTTATTATAGCCAATCCGGCGAGAAAATCTTTACATACATAGCTTCTAAAATTTCTTTTGAATTATGTTCTTGGGCTAATGTCTCCAGGATTGACAATTAA